GTCATCCGACAGGCGGTCTGTGTAGCTGATGATGCTGGTGGTGGTCCTGTAGTCTGTGATGTGCTGCAGGCCCAGCCACATTCGTCCGGATTCAGCAGTAGAATAGAAGCCATTCAGCTTCTCCTTGTCCTGATGAGCCCCTCAGTTTTTTTCTTCAGCACCACCATCAGGATGAGCTTCACAGTTTCTAGGCTTAAAAAAAAAATTTTTTTCCCATATGATCATTTAATTTAATTGTTTTGGAGATGAAAGTAACTGTTTCTCCATGATTCTATTGCTGCTTTGACTCAGAATGACTTCAGTCTTTCTCCACCTGTGCTGCAGTTTTTTTTTTTTGCATTGCTGTTCCAAAGGAATGCTCCAAACTCTCTCAGCTGCAGCTCCTTCATCTCCTCGTCGTTGAACATGGTGTTGCCTGAGGCGTAACTTCCCTCTCTGCCTGTTCCTGCTGGAGCCACACAATCACAGTTTCTGCTGTGGCATTTGAGATGGGCCAAAAGCGCATAGAGACTACTTCACCTGCAGGAGTGTGTCATGTTTGTTTTATGACCGGCACCCTGTATCGACCGGCTGAACGTGCAGCTGCCAGGGTGCATCATTAATGTTTCATACATGTGTTAATCAATCGAGCACAACATGCACCCTGACATCAGGAGAATACAGTTCTCAGTACGTCAATCATGAAGCCTGAGGGGGACGAGTCTCACTTTTTATTCTGCGCACCGACTCGCGGTGAAGAGAACAAGATGAGCTGTGCTAATCCTCAACGTGTCTGTTCACAGTAGAACATCTCAGCTAGTTAATTTATTACTTTGTACTAAAATTAAAGCTACAAAACTGACTCGAGCAGAAATAGGTGGAAAATCTCTGACTGGTCAGAGGTAGGTCCCAGTCAAAACCTTTAGAAGCTGATATCTCTGCAGTGCTGCCAGTGCTGTGCAGTGAGTCTGAGTCACTGGAGGCTTCAACAGCACCTTGCCACATTAGGACACATTTGGGAGCAGGTTTCTACAACAACGATATTTGAAGAAAGTCACATACTGTGGCTTTAAGTTTAGATAAACTAATTACATAATGAATCTCATTTTAACACCTCCATTGTGCACTGCCAAATTTTCCGGTCTGCCCGTTTCACCATGCAGTGGTCTTCATGCTGTGTGCTGACGTGGGACAGTCTGACTTGAATATAAGGAAACTGTTTGGGCGGGTCAACCTTTAACACTACTGTAAAAGAAGTGAGCACATGTGGGGCTGCATGTCCACAGCACCAGTTATCGGCCCTCGCTGACTGGTGACCCTGCTCTACAGTCTGCTGGTTAATGTCGATGCATATATTTCAGTGCAGGCCGGTGGTCAAACAGTCCAACCAGTTTGCCTTGTCACAGATCTACAGAGCATTATTAACCATTATTAGGCCCTTTAAGTACTGGTGATAGATTATTTATAGAGTACCCTAGCAGAAAGTGCTACCAACTGGTTTGACATTAAAGAGTATTTCACAGGTTAATTTAAGGGGGAAATTAGAAACGGAGGTTAACAAAGGTGACAGAGCTGTGTAATCATCTGCGGCGCCTGTAGAGGCACTTCTGCCTAAGTAAAGTCTGAGGGCTGGAGTCAGATGTATCAGCAGTGTGTCCTCCTGTTATCCACCCACTCATCAAGCTCTCAGGGTGACATTTTCATTGCCTTGATAATGTCAGATGGATTTCTGCTAGCTGGGACTGTAAGTGTGTTTCTTTTCTTTCTCCCTGGTTTCTCAGCCAGCGATCACCGCTCTGTCTGCCGGCACCTCAGCTGCACTTTGCTCTTCCATCACCACCCCCCTGCCTTCATTTAGCACCTCTCGGTCCGTCGTGATGCACCTCAACTCATCCACAGCTGCTGCTTGGCAAAGAGATGCTGCATCTGCCTGGTGGAGGAAAATATTACAGATACAACAAGCAGCACAGTAACTGGAGACCAGTGTAAAGGTTTAGTCCCCAGTTCCAGCACTTGTACTTATTATTTTGCTTCTTGTTAGTGGCTTTGCCTTTGTGGTTTATTTTTTGGTTCTTTGACTTGTTTTTGTTTATTAGGATGATTTTCTACAAAAGTGTTAGACACATGCTTCATACAGAGGCTCTGGTTCAGGGGCTCCATCCAAGTGCCGGAGCCAGCTCTGTTCACTAAATGAAGACCTGTAACATATGGTTGAAGGCTATAATGCTATGGGGACCTTTGTGTTTAGATTGCCTCCATTAAATAGTACTGTTTCTGCAGGTGAAGAATGATAGTCACAAAGCTCAACAGTAGCCTCATACAGTGGTATCATCTTTTATAATATTCATTTTGTACAAAATCAGAAGCTCTGAATGAAAACTCAGCTAATGTGTCACCCACTTACTACACAACACTTAAATAAGCACAGTGTTCACACTAAAGCTAAGACTGTAAACACTGACTCAGTTCAGCAGAAAGACAATGTGATCTTAATATAAACTAGTCATCTGTCACATGAAAGAGCACAAAGTGCTTTAAACGGAGTCTGGAGATATTTTACATAACACTGCTTTAACCATTCACTTTATCAGCTTCATTGCTGCTTTATAGTTTAAGGTCGCCAGAAAGTAACTCCACAGCTTGAAACCTTGACTTTGAAAAATGGAAGCATTTTATATTTCAGAAAGTGAAGGAAGAGAGGAGGAGACAGAAGAGAGGGAGAAACACTGGGCCAGTAAAGACGGTGCAAATGAATAAAGGTTTAAAGATGAAGTAGGAATTGAGGCTAAAACTGATGAAGGATCAGCCAAGGTCAGCTGATGGAGACATGCTGTTCATTTCTAAAAACAAAACATGAACTCAAGACAACTGACAATTCCTTTACTACAAGTCCTAACAGTGTAGAACAGCAGCTTTCCAGATGTTGGTCCATAATAAAAACCATATAGATGGTGTTTGAGTTAGGAGTCTGGTTGTCTTATGGGCCTGTGATAAGGTTGGTAGGGCAGCGGTTATGCAGCCTTTAGTTTACCCACTGCAACCTGCACAAAACACGGGACGGTGAATGGTGCAGCTGCTTGTCTGGAAAACACAGCACAAGCTTCAGTCTTGTTGTTGTTTCACTCTGAGACACAAGCAGGAGGTTTGAGTGCTAATCTCTCCTTCCTGTTCACATCTGACCTTTGACAAGAATCAAAGGATTATGGGAACTGATCCGTGATTCCTGTGCACTAAACGTATGTCTGTCTCTGATAGGATCTGATGTCGCTGCTCATGTCAATCTGCAGGTAAAATGAACCACAGATAAGGGGTGTGTGATAAGCTGCAGCACCCTGAAGTGGTACATCCATCCCAGCATTGGCTGTGTTTGATCCTATCACTGCAGGCCTGTATGCTAAACCACAGCATTTCCATGCAGGCCGCACTGTTTTAGCAATATATTCAGGGCGCCGAGCAGCTTTGCTTAGCCTGACCACATCAGGTTAGTGATCCCACAGGGGGGCAAGGGGAAAGCCAATGAGCCGCTGGAGCAAACCCAGAAATAACAAGAGCGGCAGCAGAACCGCAGTGAGACACGGTCTGCCTCCAGATCATCTATCACTGTTCAGCCACAGACAGACAGACGGAGATTACAATGTTTACTGAACACGTGTAGAAACCTAAGTGTCGAAGTAGAGACGGATTTAGAAGCAGTTGCCTCTGGAGTTCAAACACAGGTGGAGCCATATAGTGGGTGGAGCGGCTGCACCGGAGCGCGCTCCTCTTAAAATACAGTTAGACTCAAGTCAAGTATCCATTTACCTTCTTATGTCACTTCTGTCATGTACCAAAGGAGGGGAGACACACAGCTGCTTCTATTTTCATCATTATTTCTGCAGTTGCTATGAAGGCCTGTAGCCTTCAAGATTTTAACTTATTCAAAAAACAATTAGTTTATGAGCACAGAAAAAAAGTGCCACTGCCATGATGGAATGAAAAACTATAGCCCAACAACATCAGTACTTTTGGTTTCATCCATTCCCATAAAACTCACCAACACTCTTCTCCTATCAGCGTTTCTACTGTATAGCTTTAATCTTTGTTGTTCTGCAGCATTCAGGCTCTAGTCCTGCTGTTGTTTCACATACGTGAACTAATTGACTCTTACCTCCTCAGTCAAGCAATAATAAACAATGCTGAGTGTTTTACAAATAAATAAAAACAGTAATCTGGCCATCAGCACTCTAGTCACTGAGTGAGGAACAACTATATCCCATTTGGTTTGTATGGTTCCGGTTCACTTTGAAGGCCTCTCTCTCCCAGTGGGAGGAAATCATAGTTTTAGTGACTATCATCATCAGCTGGTGAGCTCCTGAAAAATACACAAATGATTGTCTGAAATTTCCCACTTTCATGAAACGGCCTTGAGCTACTGTAGCGCCATCTTGTTGTCGTGTGTGGTGGTGGGTCTTCCACAATGCTGCTGTTTCCTTTACTTGGCATGACAGTTGGTAACAGAGTATGACAGCACCCAAAGTTGCAGTTCTCAATCCAAAAGCACAAGTTCTGACAGCCTGGTGTGGTTGCCAGGTTTGAGCTCTGTCTACAAAAACACCCACCTTAGGGGAGCTCGTGCTGGGGAGCTTGTTAGCAGCAAAGACATGACGTGTAGCTGAGACAGCTTTGTATGCAAACAAGACTGATCCAACCAGCAAGTCCATTTAAGCATCTTTAAGCAGGATTTCAACAGCTTTTGCGCTGGATGGACAGTTTGAGAGCTGGGTCTGGCAACCCTGCTGTGTGCTCGGTCCCATCATGTCCCAGCAGCAGCGTCAGAGAGGAAGCAGATCAATAATCTGCCATCAGCACTTCAGCTCCTCCTTTAGAGCCACTTTATGCTTCATAAATCCTCTTTCTCCCTTTTGCAGAACTCAGATATAAAATATTATTTGCAGCAGTATAACCATATTTACTCTGACTCTTCACTGTGGTTTCAGTCTTTATGTGCAGGTGGCCCTCTAATCATGTTTTAAGTACTATGGTGTGTTTATGTTTTGTCTGGATTAACATTCATTTTCCTGGCAGCAGTGGAAGCTGGTGTCACCGCTTTAGTGCATGAATTTCACTTTTATTGTTTAAAGCTTTCTCCTTGTTGTCCAGTTTTTCTTTTCATAAACAGAGTCTGATGCAACAGCTTCTAAATGTGTTTAAAGTGAAGAGAGGACAAGCATGTAGATACCACCTGCTTAAAGGATAAGGCTGGTCATTTTTTATATTAATGGTATGTCCAGCACTCCCCACACAGAGACTAAACCAACAGTGACCTGCCTCTACTCACAGTTCATGTCTGTCAGTCTCCAACCTGGATCAGCTTATTCATCTGAGCCACAGTCCTCCACTGTTGTTCACAAATGATGCCCATCACATCAGGAAAACCCACCGCTGCACTGGGTGACATGTTTCTTCATTAAAAACCACCAGATCTGTGTACTTCTTAAAAATGTTGCCCCAAAAGCTCCAAACAACCCAAGCCAGCATCTAAAGCAAGACTCAACTTTGCACACGTGAGATCTCCACAGGGGGTCTCTGCTTTGTTTACACTCTGCTAGATCCTCACTCTTTAGTGGAGATCTTATGCATGACTCTCGCTACAAAAGGCCGTTGGAAAGCCAGCTCAAGCATCATCCTGCAAACCAATAAGTAGCTACTGAATTTTACCTGGAAAAATACAATAAATCCCAATGACAGAAGAATATTCAGGAACCATCTTTGGATATGTTGGAGGTGTGCTCATTGGCTCCTCCCTGTAATGAGCCGTATGTTCTGTAGAGCTGAACACATGTTGCATGTGACCTTGAGGAGCCCTGAGTGAACCTTGAAGATGAAGCCACTTGTTTAAATGTAGATTTTACCAGTGTAAGAAACAAAAAGATAAACTAAGATTTATTGTTTGCTGTGTAATAGTTGTGTTGTGTTGTGTTGATGTTAAGATCAGTTTTGCAACATGAAGCTGTCTCCACACAATATTTACATCTGAGGACAATAAATAAGAAAGTGGAGCGGGCTTTGCTTCAGCACAACTCATGATGCAACTGTGTGAAAGTGATAAACCGAGCTGGGCGGGGACTCTGTGATCTGCATGTGAGATATGAACAAAGGACACAGTGCTGTCGCCTGGTATCAGCTGATCGGAGTCGACCTCGAGGCTTCTCAGCCTGAGACCGCTTTTTGTTCACCACTGCATCAAAGCAGCAGGGGAATCGCACGGCAGCTAATTAGTAACACACATTACTGCAATTAACCTTGTTGAGTTTTTCCTGTGTTTTTGTGTTTGACAAAAGTAACAGAGGCTGTCGAGCTTCCTGGATCACATTCACACATGTTGTTTGTCTTTGTTGCTGTTGCCTTGGGCTCCAAACACACAGACATGATTCATCCAGTGTCACCTTGTTTCTGTTCTTCAGTCTTTTTGAATAATTCCACTTGTTCTTAGAACAAATTCTCTTGTTCTGGGAATTTCCTCTGGCAAAACGAGTGTGAATCCAGTTAGAATGATGCACATCAATGCATTAAAATAATGATAAACTTTATTTACACAGCACCTTTTTAAAACTGGGCTTACAAAATGCTTTACATGGAATAAAAACTTACAATTAAATATGACTTAAAGAAAAATAAATAGACTAGTTTAGAAAAAGTGAGAAAAGCTCACAGGAGGGCCGGTTTCTGGCCCAAGGCTGTCCCGTTGTCTGCTTTGGGTTGTTTGAAGGCCACCATATGCTAACCCCTGGACATAGGAATAAAGCGTAACCTCTCACACTAAGGTGGCATATTTGAAACATTTTAAAGCTCCAAACACTGCTTGAGAGGATATCTAAAGAATAGTGTGTGTTATGTATCAAGTGTATATAACTGGATGTTTTAGATAAAACCTTTTTTAATATATGTGTCTAAAAGTCATTTTAGCAGTTCAATCTGGGCCTTCTGTTATGCCACCTCACACACTCACTGGGAATTGGTAACCA